TATTGTCATGTACATTTTCTTTTTTTAAATCAGTAAATGCAAGTAATGAGTGGCTAATTATTGGAAAGTATTGTTAAAATTTTCTTACTACTGTTTCTTGCATTTGAGGTTTCTACCAGTATTTTTTCTCAGTTATGACCACTAGATGACACTCTTCACTAATGTCTGTTTAGAAAGTTGATTACTGTTACTGTATCATAGAATTGGGAGGTGACCTGCCTCTTTACTGCCTTAAATATGCTTACATTTTCCATGATGGAGAACGTTTGTGTAGGCTATCCCTAGTATCCCAAGCAAAGTAAATTATTGCAATTTCATGCCTAATTTGTTTCTGTGTTGTTTCAGTTCCCAAGCAGCTAGCAATTGTTTTTCAAATACCCAGCCTAAAGTATTGTTGTTGACAGTTAGATGTTGTTTTCTTATTCTTTAAGGCCTCTCTGCAAGAGACAGCTGATCATGCTCTCCCCAGAAATGTTTTTCAGATCGGAAGTACAAGATGTTGTAGGTAGAAGAATAGCCCTTTAGCAGCCAAAATTAGTTAGCTGAGGTAAGGAGAAGGCAAGATGCCCAAAGGCTTTTGCATAGTCATTTGCCTACAAACTTCTCCCCCTTCCATACGTTAGCTGGGCTAATAAAGGATGTTTACCTGTAAAGCATATCCTGCATGTGTCTCTTGACCCTTACAGCAGTAACAGCATTACTCTTACAACTTGCAAAACCATTATGCTTTACAAATATTCTCTTCTTGACTAAATAACTCACCAAAAAAAAATTTGTAGGGCCTGGATTTATGTTTTCTGAGCCTCTTACTATTTTTCTCGTCTTCTCTGGATTACCTTTTGCCTAAAATATTATTAAAGGGTCCTGTCCCAAACTGTGTACAGTGTTTTAGGTGAGCCAAATAGCATAGATTAATTCTTTTTAGTGTCACATGCATACAACACTTCTGTCTTTTTAAAAATTGAAAAAAAAAATCTGTTACAGGTTTTATGTCTTCTTGCAGTGCCATGAGAGTCTTTTTAGTTTGTGATATAATGTAATCCCCAGACGCTTTTCTTCTGTGTTGTGGCCTGGCTAGCTAGATCTAATTTGAATACAAGATTTTTCTTTCTTCAGTTTACAATGATGCGCCTTTCAGTTTCGTGTTGTAATTTCAGGCTGTTGCCTATGTAACTTATTACTCCATGGGATACTTTTTTACTATGTGTTTGTTTGTTCCAGTCCCATTCTTCCTCTTCAGATTGCAGGATTGAGAGTCACTGATTTAAGAGCCTGCAATGTTTACCGCTTATGCAAGACATTACTAAGGAACTAATAAATTAAGAAATCTGATTAACTAGCCACACCACTATTACTAGTTTGCAACAATAGTATTTTTCATATACACAATTATCCATAAAGCTCCTCATCATCACTCTTAAATCTGATGACACAGTCCTCCACTACATCCTTCTATTTAAATCAGAGGGATATGGATTTGATGGGTGGACTGTTGGGCGGATGAGAAATTGGTTGGATGGTCGTATCCAGAGAGTAGTGGTCAACGGCTTAATGTCCAGATGGAGATTGGTGATGAGCGGTGTCCCTCGGGGGTCTGGTTTTTTTTAGTCTCTTTACTATCTTCATCGATGACATAGAGGGATCGAGTGTACCCTCAACAAGTTTGGAGATGACACCAAGCTTCGTGGTGCAGTTAACACACCTGAGGGATAGGATGCCATCCAGAGAGACCTGGACAAGCTTGAGGAATGGGCCTGTGTCAACCTCATGAGGTTCCACAAGGCCAACTGCACGGTCCTGCACCTGGGTCAGAGCAACCGCAGTACAGACTGAGGGATGAAGGAATTGAGAGCAGCCCTGCCCAGAGGGACTTGGGGGTATATGAAAACCTGGACATGTGCACTCGTAGCCCATGCGGCCAACAGTATGCTGGGCTGCATCCAAAGCAGCGTGGCCAGCAGGGCGATGGGGGTGATTCTGCCCTTCTACTCTGCTCTGCTGAGACCCCACCTGGAGACCTGCATCCAGCTCTGGAGCTCTCAGCACAGGAAAGACGTGGACCTGTTGGAGCAGGCCCAGAGGAGAGCCACAGCAATGGTCAGAGGGATGGAACACCTCTGCTGTGAGGACAAGCTGAGAGAGTTGGGGTTGTTCAGCCTGGAGAAGAGAAGGCTCCAGGGAGACCTTCTTGCAGCCTTCCAGTCCTTAAAGGTCCTTATGAGAAAGATGGGGACAGACTTTTTAGCAGGACCTGTTGCAATAGAGTCAATGCTTTTAAACTAAAAGAGGATAGATTCAGGCTAGATGTAAGGAAGAAATTTTTCACACTGAGGGTGGTGAAGCACTGGCACAGTTTTCCCAGAGAGGTGATAGATGCCCCATCCTTGGAAACACTAAAGGTCAGGTTGGACGGGGCTCCGAGCAACCTGATCTAGTTGAAGATTTACCTGCTGATGGCAGGGGGATTGGACTAGATGACCTTTAAAGATCCCTTCCAACCCTATCTATTCTATGATTCTGTGATTCTAGTTTTTTGAATTAACTCTTCTATGCAACACAACACAGTATTGCCTTCTACTTCCAGTTGCTACCTTCACAGTGCTCC